TAAAATCAGCTTTTCTAAATGGATTGCTTGATGAAGATATATATGTTGATCAACCTGAAGGTTTTCAGGATCTAGGAAGTGAAGATAAAGTTTATAAGCTTCATAAAGCTCTTTATGGCTTAAAACAGGCACCAAGAGCCTGGTATAGCAGAATTGATAGTTATCTTCTGCAAAAAGAATTTAAAAGAAGTGAAAATGAAGCCACCTTGTATGTGAAGAAGTCAAAAATGAAGTGCAAATCATTGTGTCTTTGTATGTTGATGATTTATTGGTTATAGGAAATGAATCAAATTCCTTAAACCAATTTAAGAAGGACATGGAGAAAGAATTTGAAATGACTAACTTGGGTGAAATGAAATACTTTCTTGGAATAGAGATTTCTCAGCAAAATGATGGAATATTCATTTTGCAAAGAAAATATGCTTTGGAGATATTGAAGAAGTTTCACATGGAGAAATGCAAGTCTATTGCTACTCCACTAGTTGCAAATGAAAAATTTTCAAAGAATGATGGTGAAAATAATGCAGATGCTTCTGTTTATAGAAATATAATTGGAAGTTTGTTGTATCTTTCAGCAACCAGACCAAATTTAATGTTTGCTGCAAGTTTGCTTTCCAGATTCATGCATTCTCCAAGTCAAGTTCACTTTGGTGCAGCAAAAAGAGTTTTGAGATATATAAGAGGTACAACTGATTATGGTTTGTATTTCTTAAAAAATGAAAGTGGAGAACTTCAAGGATATGCAGATAGTGATTGGGCAGGAAGTATTGATGATTCTAAAAGCACCTCTGGATATGTGTTTTCATTTGGCAGTGCTATTTTTTCTTGGAATTCAAAGAAACAGGATGTTGTGGCTCAATCTTCAGCTGAAGCTGAGTATATTTCAACTGCAGCTGCTGCAAATTAGGCTATTTGGCTGAGAAAGATTTTATTAGATGTGGGACAGATTCAAGATGAAGCTACTGTCATTTGGGTGGATAACAAATCTGCTATTTCTATTGCTAAAAATCCTGTCCAACATGGAAGAACAAAGCACATTAATGTGAAGTTTCATGCCATTAGAGAAGCAGAGAAATCAAAAGAAATCAGATTGGAGCATTGCTGCTCTGAGGAACAGATTGCAGATATCATGACCAAAGCCCTCTCCAAGGGTCAATTTGAAATACTAAGATCAAGACTTGGTGTGCTCAAGAAAAATCTCAAGGAGGAGTGTTAGACTTTGAGAATTTTCTTGATTTTTTGAATACAAAATCTGTTGTACTGTGCTTGTTTTGACAGCAATCTGTTGTACTAAGCTTGTAACATCACAAGTTGTATTGTATCTTGTATATATGAAGAAAAACGTGAATGAAAAAACTGATTGCCCACTAAGAACTTGTCTTGCTCTGTTTTTGCTCTCTACTCTTCCTATCATTCTGTTTTCATTTTTCATCAGATAGTCCATATTCTGAATTCACAAGGCAATATTGAACAAAGCTTGTGGAATGAAGGGAAGAAAGAATGGGTAGCCTCATGGAAAAGCCATGAATCGGATTGTGATATTTATGGTGCATGTGGGCCTTTTGCGATCTGTAACACACAAAGTTCCCCAACATGTAGCTGTTTGAAAGGGTTTGAGCCAAGGAACAAAGAGGAATGGAATAGACAAAAGTGGACCGGTGGATGTGTTAGGAGCACAAGTTTGCAGTGTGAAAGAGTGAGCAACCAAAACACAAGTGCAGATAAAGCAGATGGATTTTTGAAACTGAAGATGATCAAGGTTCCGGATCATGCAGATGGGTCATTTCTCAGTCTTCAACCAGACACGTGCAGAAGCCGATGTTTAAAGAACTTTTCTTGCATTGCATATTCATATGATGCTAAGATTGGTTGTATGTCTTGGACAGGGAATCTAATTGACATACGACAATTCACTTACGGAGGACTTGATCTATATGTCCGTGTAGCCTACACAGAACTTGGTATAATTTGTATAATGCTAGTTGTTATTTGCACAAGAATTTGATTTTCATTAGGACTGAAAATTTTCAATTTTCATTTTTCCTGATTGCAGATAAAGATAGAAACATGATACTCATCATTACTATTACGGTGACAATAGGAACTACCTTAATTGTCACATGTGCATATATCATGTGGAGAAGGCTTAATTCGAAACACCATGGTAATATATTATATCATCATTATGGGTTAAAATTACTCAAACGAGTTTTCTTTATTGGTACAGTTTATGCAAGCTATATACAAAGACATGCTCAAGAACATAACAATAAATTCGTTTTGTTTACTCGTTTGTGCTCTTTTTTCAATGATTGAGAAACAATTTTAAATCACCGTACACGAAAATCTATGTATGTTGTTTCTCCCTCTTACTAATTTGTGGTACTGTAATGAATCAGTGAGAGGAATGTTCAAAGGAATCCTCCAGTTTAACAGAGGAAGAGCACCTGTAGAATGTACCAATGACGATGTATTTGGAGATCTGTCACAAGTCAAACTCCAGGAGCTATTAATATTTAGTTTTGAAAAGATTGTAACTGCCACTAACAACTTTCACCCATCCAACAGGATTGGACAGGGTGGTTTTGGTCCAGTATACAAGGTACATTAAATTTAGTTTAAGTTATTTATACCTGAAATCATTGTGAATAGTTTCATATTCTGCATTTTTATATTATAGGGTAAATTGCAAGATGGTCAGGAAATTGCAGTTAAAAGACTTTCTCGAACATCTGGACAAGGTGTAGGAGAATTCATGAATGAAGTAGTGGTAATTTCTAAGCTGCAACACCGCAATCTTGTTAGACTTCTTGGCTGCTGTATTGAAGGGGAGGAAAAGATGTTGATTTATGAGTACATGGCAAATAAAAGTTTGGATGTATATGTCTTTGGTTAGTTCTTTGATGCCCCTAACATCCTCATTTGTATCGAATTTCAATTGTGTATCGTATTTCCATTGTGTTTATGATATAACATACATGAAATGTTTGATGAAAATGAATAATGTTTTTACAGCAAGTGACTTACTTTTCTTGAAAGCATACTAATGTCGGTTTTCTTAAAATCATATTAAACTGTGGAATTTAGAGGACATTGATTGGTCTTGAAATGTAAGAATTCATATAATTTCACCTTTTGATTCTTTAGATTTGGCCAAAAATATAGTCCTTGATTGGAGAAAACGCTTTAGCGTAATAGAAGGAGTGGCTCGAGGAATGCTTTATCTTCATAGAGATTCCAGGCTAAAAATCATCCACAGGGACTTGAAGGCAAGTAACATCTTGCTAGATGAGGAGTTAAATCCGAAAATATCCGACTTTGGTATGGCCAGAATCTTTGGTGGAAATGAGGATCAGGCTAATACTAGAAGAGTTGTTGGAACATAGTAAGAACAACTTCTTTGTCCTAGATTATAGTAAGAACAACTTCTTTGTCCTAGATTATGGTAGCATACTTGATTAATAAATTGTTGGGCATTTCAATACAGTGGTTATATGTCTCCTGAATATGCAATGCAAGGACTGTTTTCTGAGAAATCAGATGTCTTTAGCTTTGGAGTTTTGCTACTCGAGATTGTTAGTGGAAGACGAAATTCAAGCTTCTATGACAGCGAGAATTTTCTGACCCTTTTAGGATTTGTAAGTCTCAAATTTTTCTTAGCTCATTATACGGCTTCTGTAGCCTACTACAGATAAAACATTCCAAATGTTTAATATTTTTTTTTCCTCATTGTAGGTCTGGATGCGGTGGACGGAAAACAATATATTATCTATAATAGATCCAAGAATATATGATCCTAGTCTTCATAAAGATATTTTGAGGTGCATACACATAGGACTTCTATGTGTGCAAGAATTTGTTGCAGAAAGGCCCACTATGGCTACTGTAATTTCTATGCTTCAAAGTGAGATTGTGAATCTTCCTCCTCCAACAAAACCTGCGTTCACCCTGAGGCATAATATGTTAAGATCAATGTCCTTTGCTAAAAGCAATGGCTTGAACTCCCTCAACTTTGTCAGCATTTCAAGCATTCAAGGCAGATAGAAAACAAAATGCTCCGAGAATTGCACATGGATGCAATGAAGATTATGTTAATAATAGAAAGGTTGTAGGAAATTAGAACATTGTAGGTATACCCTTCTTTTTTGTCAGAAGGTATACATTGGATTGGCTATTTAGGCAGAAGTTTGAACTCTGAAGTTTTTTTTTTCTTTTGGCATTCCTTTTATAGGTTTACTTCCTGGTTTAAAAATTATAGATAAAATTTCAATCACAAGTAATAAATGATTTTGAGAAGCAATAATATGTAAAATATATTACATGTTTCTTTAGGGTAGTTCTAGTGTTTTGATTAAGGTTATAAACACCAATTCATCTCGTTGTATTGATTAAGGTTAGATCATTTGTTTCTCACAAACATTTTGAATGTTGTCATATTTTTACAGCGATTGTTGTTTTCGTTTTTTTTTTTTCTTCATAAATTGGATGGTTACAAATTGAAAACTGAATCTCCATTGCCCCCTTATTAACAACCATGAAATCGGGGAGTTAAGCTTAGTTACACTCTAAGCAGGAAAAAGTTGGTAAAAAATAATAATGAAAACGAAACTCTTTAAATTATACAGTAGAAAAAGTCATCATCTACTTTGAAACGACAGGGGATACCGGATATATTTTCATTCAAGGAAGGAAAGGCATTTATAAAATTCAACAGCAAAGGTTTAACGAAACTATTTCTCTATACTAGATAGCTTTAGAACGCAGATACAAGAATGCACGATGCAGAAAATCTAATTACATCTGATGGATAATCGATGAATAAATGTAAACAGAGTTGTGGTTCTTATAACTTGGTTATAGAAACTGAATAAGGGATTATACAATACATAAGAAATGATGGAATCAGATTGTACAAGTTCCAACTCCTTCCATTCCCTTCCTTTCTATATTATTTTTTATCCAAACAATGGATCTTAAATCCTTTGTTCTTATAACTTGGTTATAGAAACTGAATAAGGGATTATACAATACATAAGAAATGATGGAATCAGATTGTACAAGTTCCAACTCCTTCCATTCCATTCCTTTCTATATTTTTTTTTATCCAAACAATGGATCTTAAATCCTTTCCATTCAATATTCTTCATTCGATCCCAACAAAACCTTATATGCATTCATCATAATACTGAACTTTTTCCACTAACTTTTTCCGATCAGTGGAACTTAAAAGACTTCAAAGTTCTCTCTAAATAGCCCTTCCAACGTATACCTTTGGACCAAAAAAAGAAAACAAAGGCAACACCTACAATGTTCTAATTTTCAGCAACCTTTTGTAGTATTAACATAATCTCCATTTCTTGAGCACTTGGTTTGCTATTTTCCTTGGATGTCCGAAATACTGACAGAGTTATGGGAGTTCAGGTCATTGCTTCTTACAAAGGACATTGAACTTAACATATTTTGTCTCAGAGTGAATGCAGGTTTCGTTGGTGGAGGAAGATCCACAATCTCACTGTTAAGCATTGAAATTACAGCAGCCATAGAGGGCCTATCTGCAGCAAATTCTTGTACACATAGAAGTCCTATGTGTATGCACCTAAAAATATATTTATGAAGACTAGGATCATATATTCCTTCATCTATTAGAGATGAAATATTGTGTTCTGTCCACTGTATCCAGGCCTACAATTAAAAAAAAATATTAAACATTTGGAAGTCTTGTCAGCAGAAGAATACAAAACCCCTATAGTGAACTCAGAAAGACAGAAAGAATGTTAGAGACTTACAAATCCTAAAAGAGTAAGAGAATTCTCTTCATCATAAAAGCTGGAATTCCGTCTTCCATTAACAATCTCCAATAGCAAAACTCCAAAGCTAAAGACATCTGATCTTTCAGAAAATTATCCTGAAAATTGTCCTTGCATCGCATATTCTGGAGACATATAACCACTACATTGAAATGTACCAAAATTTATTGTCCAAGTATGCTAATATAATCATGAACAATGAAGGTGTACCACTACTTACTATGTTCCAACAACTCTTCTGGTATTAGCCCGATCCTCATTCTCACAAAAAATTCTTGCCATACCAAAGTCTGATATTTTTGGATTTAGCTCCACATCTAGCAAGATATTACTTGCCTTCAAGTCCCTGTGCATGATTATTAGCCTGGAATCTCTATGAAGATAAAGCATTCCTCGAGCCACTCCCTCTATAATGTTAAAGCGTTTTCTCCAATCAAGGACTTTATTTTTTGATGGATCTAAAGAATCAAAGGGTAGAAATATATGAACTCTAACATTTTGAGATGACGCAACGCTATTTTAATTTAACAATTTAGCATAATTTCAATAAAATAGACATTAGGATGCTTACAAGAAAACTTGCTAGCTGTAATCATATTATTCATTTTTTAAAAATATTTCATATATCATACGCAAGGAAAATCCAATATAGATGGATGCTAAGGGGAATCAAAGAACTAACCAAAGATGTATGCGTCCAAACTTTTATTTGGCATGTACTCATAAATCAACATCTTTTCCTCCCCTGTAGTGCAACAACCAAGAAGTCTTACTAGCTGAGAAAATAAAAATCGGCTAGTAACATTGATCAAAAAGTACAACAATTGTTTTTCTTGGGAATACAAAGAGTGTTGGGGTTATTTTATGATATTTGTCTGAGGGGATATTTTATGAGGGTATTTTTTTTAAGGTTATTTATTACACAAGTATACTCTACAATGATGAGATATTGTCCGCTTTGAGTCTTAGCCCCCACGGTTTTGCTTTTGGTTATCACCCAAAAGGCCTCTTAATCATTGAAGTATGTTTGTGCTATATAAATTGTTATTTCATATCTTATTTTATCGATGTGGGACTTATTTGTATCCCAACAATTAGATGTTAGGATTATCAAAGAAATTGGTAGAACATAGACTACTAATAACGTTGTTGAATCAAAAGAACTTTTTTATCCATTAGACATTCTACATTGATTAAATTTTGAACGAATGTAAAAAAAATCTTTTTATATCGATTCAAAATTTAATTGATATAAGATGTCATTTCTATAAGGACTAGGTTATAACTAATGTAAATTTTATATATGGGCCTATTTGAATAAAAAGTTTATAAAAAAGCTATTTACAAATTAACTTACATACAAGTTAATTTTAGTTTATAAATTTTTTTTATATGAATATATATATATATATAGTTGTTTGTGCTTGACCGACACTAGGAGATTATTATTTAGTGGATGATTATATATATATATATATATATATATATATTCCTTTTCTTCTCCTATAAATATTTTTAAAGAAGTTTATCCAAACACACTGAGAGTTGCAAGGAAGATTTCGTATATTTTGATAAATTTCATATTTCCAAGGTAAACTTTATTTGTTTATTTTTCTTAGACAAAAAGGTTATTATCAATATTATCAATAACTGGTAGTGAAGCTAATTACAAGGGTGCAAAAGTTGGCCACAAAATCAAAGAACAAAAGGCTAGTATTTGGCTCAATGCACTTCAAAAATACAAGGGAAAAAAAGAAAGATTATCCAAAGTACCTGACGAAAAAGCAATAGAACTATTAGTGCATACATAAAATGCTGTGTAGTGCAGCTGTTTCCATTTGGCATGATGTGGTTTGGCCCATCCCGTCCATGCCCCAAGTTTGATATTTGTTATGAATGCAAGTCCTGTCTCTCGAAATTGTTGAAATTGTATACTTTGTAATACTAATTTTGACTCGGTGTCACGTGAATTAATGTCACCCTTTACTTCTGTCATACGGTTCTCCAAAAGTAGCAGATGAAGACAAAAACGGTCTGAGTCTTCAACTTAAAACAGGCAAATAATCCCTCGTATCATAAATAAGCAAGGTATATATACTTTATTCACCTTTGTTGGAGCTCTTATTTTACTATCTACCAAGGATATCTGTAATACTAACTGTATAGATGGAGCATGATGATTGACTTTCATTAGATGACACCAAATTCTTTTAGATAATCTTAAATTTTAGAGATATCCAAGTTAGTTATTCTGAATTATTTGTTTAATCTGTTTTATCTTTTGAGTTATTTGTTAAGATAGTTTTTGATAAGATTTGTTTTTTGATAAGATATTTTGTTACCGTCTTGTTAATTTAGTACGTTGTAAAATGGTTATTTAAAGGCCATCTCTTATTCAATAAATCACAGTGAGTATTACTCGTTTCTCTAATTTTCTACAAATTGGTATCAGAGCTTTATGCTCTGAGTGCCGAGTGTGAGAGGAAAACAGTGTGCGCTTGTGTGTGTGTTTTGAAAAAGAAAGAGAGAGTAATGGCGAAGGTTGTTAATGGAATGACCATACCACAACTGTCAAAGAAAACCAATTATGATAATTGGTGTTTACAGATGAAGATACTTTTGGGTTCCCAAAGTCTATGGGACATAGTGGAGAAGGGGTTTTGAGAACCCGCGGAGGGCGAAGAGCAATCTGTGGCTCAGATTGCCACATTGGAAAAGACACGAGTAAAGGACAAATCAGCTTTGTATTTTTTGTACAATGTCGTGAATGAATCAGGTTTCGAGAAGATTGCAAATGTTGCGTCTTCAGAGGAAGCATGGAACATTTTGGAGGTTGCGCACAGAGGTAACCACCGTATTAGACAGATCCGACTTCAAACTCTTCGAGGAGAGTTTGAATGTTTGAAGATGGAGGATAAGGAACGAGTATCCAAGTACATAACTCGGGTGGAGAAGGTGGCAAATCAGCTCGGAAGGAATGGGGAGCCAATGTCAGCAAGTAGAATTGTGGAGAAAATCTTGAGATCATTAACAAATGATTTCGAGAGCATTGCATGCGTAATTGAGGAGTCAAAGGACTTGTCAATTCTCTCAGTGGAAGAGCTCCCTGGGTCACTCGAAGCCCACGAACAAAGGAGGAGGAAGATGAAGGATACTTTTGATCAAGCATTACAGGCGCAACTTGATTTGAATGGAACTCGGAACACCCAGGGCCGAAGATCAAGTGGACAAGGACGAGGTGATCATGGAGGATGAGGTAAAGAACGAGGTGATCATGGAGGTGATCAAGGATGAGGTAGAGAACGAGGTAATCATGGAGGTGGACAAGGACGAGGTGATCGTAGCCAAGGAAGTAAGCCAAGGTCGGAGGTGGAATGTTATAAGTGTGGCAAATACGGCCACTACGCAAAGGAATGCAGATCGGAAAATTGCTACAACTGTGGCAAATACAGTCACATAGCAAAGTATTGTCGAGCTAAAAGCCAAAGTGAAAAGAAAGAGAAGAATCTTCTTACAGAAGAAGAGGACGAGGAAGTAGAAATTTTGATGATGACGCAGAGCTCGGAGACCAAGCTACGTCCGAGTTGTGCCTCCGAGGTTGAGCTAAACTTGAGTTGTGTGGAGAGATCAGTAGTTGAGCTTCCAAGCTTAGATGAGAAGTCAAAGGCGGAGCTTGATTCGGGTTGCTTAAACAACTCAGTCTGGTATTTGGACACTGAAGCGAGCAATCATATGTGTGGAGAAGAGAGTTTCTTCAACGAACTCATCAAGGTGAAGGCTGGATTCGTGTCATTTGGGGATGATTCCAAGGTGGCGGTAAAAGGGCATGGAACCATCAAGCATATGCAGAAGGATGGACGAGTTGGAGAAATAAGGAATGTCTACTACGTTCCCGAACTTAAGAGCAACATCTTAAGCATGGGGCAGATGATGGAGAAAGGCAACTCGGTTCTGATGAAGGATCGAGTACTTTATTTGAAGGACAAGCATGATCGTTTAGTAGCCCGAGTAGAGATGAAAAAGAATCGGATGTATAAACTGGAGCTGAACATCATTCAAAATAAGTGCTTGAAGCTGGACGTGAGGGATGAAGCCATGATGTGGCATTTTCGTTTTGGACATTTAAACATTGGAGGCTTGGCCGAGCTATCAAGGAAGGAGTTGGTGCTCGGACTACGTGGTGTTGAGTTTGACAAGAAGTTTTGTGAAGCGTGTGTACTCGGAAAGCATTCAAGAACAAGTTTTCCGAGCTCGTCCGAGTACAAAACAAAGGAGAAACTTGGCCTGATACAAACTGACTTGTGTGGACCAATTTCTCCTGCATCCTTCAGTGGTAAGAAATATTTCATCTCTTTCATAGATGATTTCTCTCGAAAAACCTGGGTATATTTCTTGCAGGAAAAATCAAAGGCATTTGAAGCCTTTAAAAAGTTTAAAGTCATGGTGGAGAAAGAGACTAACAAGCAAATTAAAGCTTTGTGGTCAGACAGAGGTGGAGAATTCACATCGGGTAGAGTTTATGGAATACTGTGAAGAGAAAGGTATAAAACGTTCTCTTACAGCTCCATATTCACCACAACAAAATGGAGTAGCTGAAAGAAAGAATCGGACCATTCTTGATATGGTTCGAGCTATGCTTAAAGGGAAGAATATGCCTGAGAATTTTTGGGCAGAGGCAGTGCAGTGTGCTATATATATACAGAACAAGTGCCCACATTCAAAATTGGATGATGTGACACCTCAAGAAGCATGGAGTGGACAAAAACTGAGTATATGTCACTTCAAGATCTTCAGAAGCCTCGCTTACGGTCATGTTCCAGCTTAGCTCAGAACGAAGCTTGATGATAGGAGCAAGAAGTACATTTTGATCGGGTATGATGAAAAGGCAAAAGCCTACAAATTGTACAACCCTGTTACAGGCAAAATTCTGGTAAGTCGAGATGTCCAGGTAGATGAGGAGAGTGAGTGGAGCTGGAGTAACTCTGAAAAGTCTTCGGAGAGCTCGAACTTTGAGAGGGAGAGCTCGGAGATAATAGGGAGAAGCTCGGATAGGACCGATGAGCATTCCGAGGAAGATGATGAACCTGAGGACCTTAAAACTCAGAGCTTGCAAGACATCTACAACTCCACTAACGAGTTACATGTAGTATGTCTATTGACAGGAACATAAGATATAAAATTTGAAGAGGCTGTACTTGATGAAAGATGGAAGAAAGCAATGGATGAGGAGATCGGACAAATTAAGAAGAGTGAGACATGGAAGCTGACAGATTTACCCACAGGAGCTCGGCCAATT